CTCGAGCGAGACGCTTGGTTTCACGCCTCCAGGTGGCCCAGACAGATGTCTAGCATGAGGATTTGTTGAGGATGTCTCGAACCAGAGGCTTGTTTTCACGTGTCCAGGTCGCCCAGGCGGATGTCTAACATGAGCATTTGTTGAGGATGTCTCGAGCGAGACGCTTTGTTTGCACGTGTCCAGGTTGCCCAAGCGGATGTCTAGCATGAGGATGTGCTGACAACGTCTTGAGCGAAACGCGTGTTTTCACGTGTCCAGGTCGCCCAGGCACAGCACAGCCCTCGGCACGGTACATCAATATCGATACCTTTAGCATTGCAGCCTGGCATGTTGCTTGGCACGTTCCGCGGAGCGTCCCGTGGCGAGTCCCCCTGGCACGTCGCGCGGTGCACGTCCATTGGCACGTTCCGTAGCGCGTCCCCTTGGCACGTCCCGCGGTGCGTGCCCATGGCACGTCCCCTGGCACGTCCCCTGGCGCGTCCCTTGGGACGTTCCGCGGCGCGTCCTCTTGGCATGTTCCCTCTGTCGATTAGTTCTGGGGCAGCTACCATCTGCTCAGGCAGCTCGAGCTTACGATCCAGATCAGTTCGGTGAGGACTCGGATGCCAGGGAGGACTCGATCCACAACGCTATATCTATATCTATAGAGAGAGAGAGAGAGAGAGAGAGCACAATCGCGGCATGACGCATCGCAGTTCAGCACGGCCCAGCACAGCACAGCCGTCGGCACGGTACATCAATATCGATACACTCAACTATACACTTTGGCACGAGAGAGAGAGAGAGCACAATCGCGGCATGACGCATCGCAGTTCAGCACGGCCCAGCACAGCACAGCCGTCGGCACGGTACATCAATATCGATACACTCAACTATACACTTTGGCACGTTCCTTGGCGCGTTCCGTGGCGAGTCCACCTGGCACGTCGCGCGGCGCGTCCCATGGCACGTCCCTCGGCACGTCCATTGGCACGTTCCGTAGCGCGTCCCCTTGGCACGTCCCACGGTGCGTCCCCATGGCACGTCCCCTGGCACGTCGCCTGGCGCGTCCCTTGGGACGTTCCGCGGCGCGTCCTCTTGGCATGTTCCCTCTGTCGATTAATTCTGGGGCAGCTACCATCCTGAGCAGCTCGAGCTTACGCTCCAGATCAGTTCGGTGAGGACTCGGATGCCAGGGAGGACTCGATCCACAACGCTATATAGAAAACAATCGCGGCATGGCACATCGCAGTTCAGCACGGCGTAGCACAGCACAGCCCTCGGCACAGTACATCATCATCGATACATTTAGCATTGCATGTGCCCGTCGCCCAATCAGGTGTCTTTGAAATGTTACAATGCCTTACATTTCTATATTCCTTTCCGGGTTCGTGGGTCGATCATGTTCTACTGCGCTGTCCCAGCGCGTTGGGCTGCCACGAGGCAGATCCTGCAGGACCAAGATTCAGCTGCGCGTGAGAGCGACCCTTCGCCAAATTGACCTTTGGTGCGGGCCCACCAGGGCTCCCTCAGGCACTGGCCCACGCGCTTGGATCTGGCCCCCTCCCTCCCCCGCAGCCCCCCCCCCAAGCTGCACACCAAAGGTCACCCCTACCTGCAGGGCCACGCCCTCCGTGCCACCGAGAGCTCATGGCAGCGTCTCCTTTCCCGATCCGCCCCAGGTTCTCCAGACACACATACCGCTACCCTTGCCTCGTTTGCGCCTCGTTGGGCCTCCTGGGAGGCCCTCGTCGCCACCGCTGGATTCGCCTCGGGAGTCTGGTCAGAAGGCACCCCAGGAGAGGGCCATGAAGCATCGGTATCGATACCGTCTGGTGCCTCAAATATCTTGCATGCCTCGCCCTGATGAGATTGGTAAGAGCGGTTTTCACAATCGTTGGCCACGATATGTTGGGGGGTCACGGCATTGTTGTGAGGTGTACGTTGATTTACCTCTCTCCTTCTTGTTCTATCTTCGAGTCGGCGACTACGAGGCGTCGGCGACTACGAGGCGTAGCTCGCGACGCACACATTCGAGATCCGATGTCAAAAAGGTTGCTCCTAATGTGGTTTCCTCGCTCTCGGCCCTCCTTTCCCCCTCCTCCATTCCTGCCCCCGCGGCCTCTCGCGTTTAATTTTGACGAGGGCCGGCAGAAGTCTCCACGGGCATGCTCCCGCAGAAAGGCACTCGGGATTACACGCACGCCCGAGCTGCTCAAGCATGTCGTTTTCCCCGCCGCTGCGTTCGCAGAAAGGCACCCGGGGTTGCACGCACACCCGGGCTGCTGACGCAGTTTTTCTGTTTACTCGACGCTTCCGCGCGCCATCCGCTGCAGGGCGGGGTGCGGCCGGGGACTTTTCCAGCGCCTTCTGCATGCGACTTCCGCACGCAGTACCGCATCGTTTCCTCTTGCTCCTCCCGCGGCGGTGCGCGCCGGCGCAGCCGACGGGCCGGCCCGGCGATGCGTCGGCGACTACGAGGCGTAGCTCGCGACGCACACATTCGAGATCCGATGTCAAAAAGGTTGCTCCTGATGTGGTATCCTCGCTCTCGGCCCTCCTTTCCCCCTCCTCCATTCCTGCCCCCGCGGCCTCTCGTGTTCTTCATTTTGACTAAGGCCGGCAGGAGTCTGCCCGGGCATCCCCCCCGCAGAAAGGCACGACATCACGACATCACGTCCTCATGACACCTCCCATGGGGCACCTACATGGCAAGTGCGATCTCTGTGATGGTGTCGCAACCGACCTCACTTACACACTACACCACGCCGCACCGCACCGCACCGCACCGCACCACACCGCACCGCACACACACACGCACACACACACACACACACACACACACACACCACACCACACCACACACACGCACACACCACACCACACACCACGCCACACAACATCACGCCACATCACACCGTACCCCACACCACGCCACGCCACGCCACGAGATCATGACACCACCCACGGGACACGACGGGAGAGCGACATGACGACTGTGATGTCTGTGTTGATATCACAATCGACGCGCCGCTGGCGCAGCCGGCGCCGCTGGCGCAGCCGGCGCAGCCGGCGCAACCAGCGCGACCGGCGCGACCGGCGCGACCGGCGCAACCGGCGCAACCGGCGCGACCGGCGCAGCTGGCGCAGCCGGCGCGACCGGCGCGACCGGCGCGACCGGCGCGACCGGCGCGACCGGCGCAACCGGCGCGACCGGCGCAGCCGGCGCAACCGGCGCGACCGGCGCGACCGGCGCGACCGGCGCGACCGGCGCGACCGGCGCAACCGGCGCGACCGGCGCGACCGGCGCGACCGGCTCCGGTTCCAGATCAGCCTCTTCTCCAGGAATGAAGTTCTGGGAACTCGAAGACCACGAACTGGCCTACAGCTGGCTCTGGGCATTCAAAATCATGCCCAGGAATGGAGTTCTGGGAGGTCGAAGAGCACGAAGTGGCCTACAGTTGGCTCCGGGCATCCAAAATGTCGCCCGGGAATGGAGATCTGGGAAGTCGAAGAGCACGAAGTGGCCTACAGTTGGCTCCGAGCATCCAAACTGTGGCCCGGGAATGGAATTCTGGGAAGTGGAAGAGCACGAAGTGGCCTACAGTTGGCTCCGAGCATCCAAAATGTGGCCCGGGAATGGAGTTCTGGGAAGTCGTAGAGCACGAAGTGGCCTACAGCTGGCTTCGGGCATTCAATGTGGCCCGGGAATGGAGTTCTGGGAGGTCGACGAGCACGAGGTGTGTGACTGTTTGCTTAAAACGAGCCCGGCCCTGAGCCCGGCCCTCGCTGTCCGGATGCCGCCCAGACTTCCTTTCTGAGTCATCAGATGTTTTTTTTGACACCACTAGAAACCTATCAGTCTTCGCTGTTAGGTAAAGATAACATAAGCATAAAAACTCTGAGGTCCGCGGCGCGGCGCCGGAGGCGCCGCCGGGGGGCCCCAGCGCCGATCCGAGAAATCCGCGCGGACCTCCGAGTTTTCACGCTTATGTTATTTCTTGTTCCCCTAAAGAAGGACTCAGGATGAAAAGCCAGTCCAGGGGAATGGGTCGAGACCTCCAGGTGTCGACGTGATGAAAAAATCATGACGTCGGGGGTCTGGGGTTCGCGTGGAAGGACGATGGTCGCCGTCCGCGCGCTGGTGCCGCCCGCGTCGCTGCACCCCCTACGCTCTGCAGAAGCCACAGCGACAAGGGCGTCACCAGTACGCGAGCAGCGATTCTGTGTGGTTGGTGCGGGGATTGTTTCGGCTTCAGGCCAGGCGGCGCCATGCGATACGTTTGCGCAAGGCGATGGTTTGGCTCAGGTTTCCGGCGAATTTACGGAAGTCCGGCCAGAATGGCGCCGGAGATCGGGTTTGCCGACGCCTGCTTGACGAGCCCACCCTGTTTGGACGGTCCAGCTTTATCCGGATGTCTGCCGCGGGAGGTCGCGTCGAATTCCAGACTGGGCCTCGTCATTTTCGTGGTCGCGGTTTCGCTACGCTACACTTCCTTGCCTCGTGAGCGAACACCGCAACCGTATCCGCGGCCTCATGGCCCGGGCCCCTGGGCCGCGACCCCGCGGATACACGGGGGGCGTTTGTTCGCAGGTGTTCCGCGGGATCTCGCCCTGGAATCCAAACCGCGAGGTCAGAGCCCCGCCTCGAATCATCAGGGGTAGACCATGTCAGGGCTAAGTCGTTATTTTCCCACGACATGCGAACCCGAGTTGCCCTTGGCCCGAGTTACCCCAGTATTTCGGGTGTCCTGAACCCCAAATCATCAAGGGTAGCTCGTATCAGGGCTGACTCGGTTTCGTTTCTCGGGAATCCGAACCCGAGTTGCCCCGGCCCTTTTGGTGCGTGGATCCCTCGAGCTCTCCGCCGCCTCTGGCGGCGTGCGTATCGAGCAGGACACGCAGCAGAGCCACAGGAAAACGCGGGATGGACAGTGTGGCCCCCGCACACGCGACAAACGCTGACGCACAGGAGCGAGCAGGAACGAGCGCGGCCTCCGTGCCCGGTCCGATGGGGGCAGGTGGCGGCCGGAGCCGCCTGCACGGCGGCGCTGTGCCCAGGCCTCGGCGCCTTCGCGCACGGCGCCCAGCGGAGCGCGCTGGTGGCCACCCGCGGGCGTGTGCGAGGCCGGGGGGGCCGGGGGGTCCGCGGCGAGCCCATCGAAGGGGGAAGAGGTACCCATACCGGTACCCTCGCCCAGGATACGACAAATGCAACGCAGCGGAACTAATGGCACAAGTGTGCAAAA